GTGGTTTTAGATTTTCGTATTACTCACTGATATGTAGCGCAAACTTTAACAAACAATTTATTTAATGCGTTTTCGTAAACTGCAACACACTCTTCGCTTTTTGCCAGCTTAAAACTAATACTTTTGCATTTTAATATTGTTTTTTTTTTGCAATTCTTTTATATGTATATGTGTGATTTTTTTTGTTTTATTTTTCAGGTTAGTTTTGTTCCTACTTTACGACACTTTGCTGCTTGGCTAATTTTACTACGGTTATGTACTATTTATGCATGTATATAAATACATATATAGTTGTATATACATCTTGTATTTTTGTTTCTGCTAAATAATAATTCAATAATTGTTTTCTGCTTCCCAATTTGCTAACATTTTTAGCTTGGTGATACTCTCTAGCGCATAAATTTCACAAATTTACTTTTCGAGTTCACATTTTTATGTATTTCTCACATGTGTATGTTGCAAATGTAGGATAACTTATTTACGCTTGCAACTCTTTTCTATCAGTTTTTTAAGAATAATTAATTTTAAAATATTTTTTTAACAAAATTTCAGCCGCTTCCGCATGTTCTAATAATTTGTGGTATTTTTACCTCAAACTTAATGAAAATTTTTTTCTTCATATAAACTGCATAAAACTCAACGCTTATTTAGTATATATTATATTGTTCAAACTATTTGGATTTTTAGCAAACAAAATTTTTTATTCATATAAACTGCCAATCATATATTAAACCGTTTCGTGTTTTAACAACAAAAATAATTTAATTTTTTGGCAGATTGCACACTATACTCACGTGTTTGGATGTGTGAGTGCACTTAGCCCGCATTAGCAAATTTGGATTCCTCCTGTACTATTTCTATGTAAGCATTTACTTACATAGTCACTCATAGCAATAGCTGCATATTTTATGTATATGTACGTGTGTTTGTGTTTATATCTGGCGTGCTATTGTATGCGTAGAAACATTGAACAGCCTCATGTGTGTGTATGTATGTGTTCACGTCTATGCCTCAAATAATTCGGTGTGACACTAAAGCTACAGCTATTTTGGTTTGTATATGTGTGTTTGTGTTGCTCACCACTAATTTTTAATTCGTTTGCTCACGTACTCACTAATTTCACTAGCTTGTGCTACATTTAAGAATA